CACCTGCAGCTTGCCAGGGACACTCCCGGTGCATGCCGTAGTCAGGCACCGCAGCTCCAGTGTGGCTGACGTGTCATTCGGTCCCTGTTACGGGTCTACAAAGTCACCTGTTGAAACAAACACCCTCCTCGTGCTGGAGTCTGGAAGGGTGGCCTTCGGGAGGGCGGTTACGGTCGTGGGCGTGGGCCCGTGGTAGAAGTAGTGCCCTTGAGGGAAGGAGCCCCTCCCGAGAGGCCCGGCTTCCTGCCAGGTGCGGACACGGGGTGGGGGATCCACGGCCCGGAAGAGGGCCCTCGCCGGTACTCGGACGGGCCGGCGCCCGGGGCTCGGGCTTCCAGCCTCCAGGGCATCAGAGACGAACTTGTGTTGTGGCCAAAGTCACGGCCACCCTGGTGGGCCGTGCTGCCGCGAGGCCTGAGTGAGCGCAGACAGCCGCCCTGGTTGTGCTGGACTCAGTGGCAGTCAAACCCCCATCGGGGCAGACGGGAAATACCGCCGCGTCGGAGCCGCCGACGGAGACGAAACCCACCCCCCTTGCGGGACTCCCCTGTGGGGTCCACGGACCACCTGGCCCCCGGCAGCCTCGGGATCTAAAGGGGTTGGGCTCGGCCTGGCTGGCGTGGCTCAGTGGATGGAGCGCGGGCTGCGAACCAAAGCGTCGCAGGTTCGATTCCCAGTCAGGGCACATGCCTGGGTTGTGGGCCACAGCCCCCAGCAACCGCACATTGATGTTTTTCTCTCTCTCTCACTCCCTTCTTTCTCTAAAAATAAATAAATAAAATCTTTATAAAAAAAGGAATCGGGCTCGGGCCGCCAGGAGGGCCAGGGCGCACGTGTGTCTCCCGGCCTTCGCTCCACCGCAGGCCGATGCCGGGGGAGACTGGGCAGATCCTCCTTCCCGGCCGGCCTCTGGCCCAGGCCTTCCCACCACGGGTGCTGCCTTACGCGGCTGTTGGGCCTCCCCGCCTCCCTCCTCCGCCGGCCCGCCCGAGCTCCCGGTGCTGCCGCGGGCACGTGCGGTGAGCGGGCTGTCCCCCCCCCCCGGAGCCGGCGGGGGGGCGGTGGCGAGGGCTGCGGGAGCAACGTGCGTCTTGCTCTCCGCCGCACCGTGACCCGTCCCCGCTCCCCGAAACCGGATGATGAATTGCTCCGGCCGAGCGGAACTCGCCCGGACAAGCCTCCTCTCCGGCTGTAATTAATGCCCCGGGGAAACGCAGGCCCGGGCTCACGCTCTCGCACAAACACATGCGCGCATGGGGTGCAGGCCCCGCCATCCTCCCGCCCCGGCTCAGGTCCTCCTGTCCCGCTGCCGTTGCGGGTGGCGCCGACCGCCCAGCCGGGGAGACCCCGGAGGCCGAGGGAGACGTCGGGGCCCCTCTCCCGTCCCTGGGACGCAGACCTAACCGGCCCGGAGCTGACTTTTCGGTACGCTGCTGCAGTGGAGCGTGGCCTCGGGGGAAACGGCCGTGGGTCTGGGTGACCCCGTGGAGGTCACCATTTTGGGGCACCTCCCCCCACCCTCCTTCTCCCCGCCGGGACAGCCTGGCCGATGCGCTAGTCCAGACACCCCTGTGCACAGGTATCAGCGTGCTCCTGGCGTCCGACACTCCTAAAAAAGCTGCCCAGTAAGTCATGCAGCCCATGACGCCGGACCACCGACCACCCTGACGACGGACGTGCTTTCTCAGGGGACGGGAGGGCCGTGCCGGGCCAGGAAGGGCCTGGCCCCTGTGTCGTGTGCCGGTCGGTCAGCTCCTTCGGTGTGGCAGGCGGAGGCACAGACGGGAAGGGGCTCAGAAACTCACGCTCCAGCCTGACAGGGACGCCTCCCAGTGCCCAGAGCAGCGGGTCCAGCTCCCCGGGGTCTTGCCTGAGCAGTGGGACCACGAGACCCGGATGCAGCATGGCCCAGGTGCCACCCCACGGATCCCAGACACGCGACCAGAGAGGATGTCGTTCTTCACGACACCCCAGAACACGGCATGGCGATACCTACAGGACTGAGAGTGTCTGGCGCCCAACAAGGCAAAACGGACCATGTCCAGCATCCGACCAGAGACACACGGGACGCAGGGAAACGCCCCCAAAGGGAGGAGGAAAAGGGGCCCTCTGGACGCAGGGAAACGCCCCCGAAGTGAGGAGGGAAAGGGACCCTCTGAAACGGACCCGGAACCGACACACAGTCACTGTCAGCAGACGAGGCTGCTGGCGCCGCCGTCCCCACTCCACGTGTCCCGAAGGTGAAGGGGAGACAAGGGGGGTCGCACACGGGGATGCGCTCGGCCGCACCCGCCGACGGGGAAACGCCAGCGTCCGGGGTGAAGAGGTGCCCGCACGGGGCCTGGGGCGGAGTAAACGTCGCGCGTCCGTGAAATGTCACCGGACCTGAAGACACGCACGGGTCATGTTCTCTACCGTGAAGGCCCCCGTAGAGACGCACGAGCTCTGGGAGGATGCGGAGCCGCCCGCCGGGCGCGTCCCAGGGAGGCCCTGCAGGTGGCGGGGAGCCGCGGGGCACGTGGGGAGACAGCGGAGGGAAAACAGCGTCTCCAGACCCGACGAGAACGGCCAGCGCGGTGGCGACCCGGAAACCCCGACGAGCCCATGGAACGTGAAGACGACGGCACCCACAGGAATCGTAGCTGGGCCGCTCCAAACCGGTAACCACGAGCAAGCACGTCTGCACGAGCGTGTATCTGACATGTGAACTGCGTTCGGTAAACACGCAAACTCCCAACGCGGCGCTCAGCAGGAAGAAAACCACCGACCCGGTGCAGACACAGACGGGGAGGTCTGGATGGACACGGCGCCGGAGCCGGTGTGTGGGCACCGAACAGCCGTGGAGGAACGCCCCCCGTCCTGCGTCGTCAGGAAAAGGCGACGCAGGACGCAGCCCCCGACGGAATCGCGGCCGCGACAGAGACGGCAGCCCCCAGTCTTGGGGAGGACGCAGACCCGGGCCTCCCACACGTGGCCGGGGCGAGCGGGGAGTGGGGCTGCCGCTCTGGAAAGGAGTCTGGCGTCGGCTGAAAGAGCTGCGCACTCTCACGACAGGACCCAGCCGTCTGGCGGCCGGCGCTTCACCGGGGAGAAAGGGCAGCAGGCCGGCCGCGGGCGGGCGGGCTTGGGTGCGCAGGCTCTGCGCGGCCTCCTCGGTGATGGCGACGGTCACGGCCCCACACTGGACACAACACAAGCCCCTGCCGGGATCTAACGGGAGACAGACCACGGCACGTTCGTAGCACGGAAACAACCGAGCAGAGAAGGGACGGAGCTGTGGACGCACCTCGGCCCGGGGGACCGAGGGACAGCTGTGCGGGGCGCGGGCAGCGGCGGCGGGACGGACCGGAAGGCGTGTGTGCGGCTGATTGGCGGCGCGTGTGGGACTCCTGGGGAGACAGGCCACTCCCTCCGCAGGGGCTCGCCCGGGACGCGGGGCTTGGGAAGGGGCAGGAGGATGGGGGTCCAGGGGACGGGAAACGGTGCAAGGTGACAGACACTCGGTGTCTGGACGGCGGTGACGGTGCCCCGGGGGCCCAGGTGCGTCACAATTCACCCGACTGTGCCCTCCGAGCCGCGCGCAGGTGGCTGCATGAGCGCTGCAGCCTGACACGCCACCTGAAAACACAGACGCCCACAATCCAAGCCAGCCCGCCCCCGCGCCACTCCTGACGGCACAGGGGACGACCGCTGTGTCCTGCAGCCCCATGCGCCGAGGGCCCCTGGGGCTGCCTCCCCGGAAAACGGGGCTCGATTCACAAAGAGGGCGCGGCCCCAGCTGCCAGGGCGTGGAACCTCTCTGCGGTGCAGGGTGCTGGGACCAGAACAGGACACCGGCGCACACTGTGTGCACCTCCTTTGTCTCCTTGCACGCTGACAGAGATGGGGCGGCTGCTCCCTGGGGACCCAGTCCAGCGCCGTCCGCTGGGGGCGCCCACAGCCATCTGTGGTGACCCCCGGACCTCCGCCTCCTGTCCCCAGGGAGCGGGGCCCGAGCGTCCTCTGCATACAGCCCCTCGTGGCCCTGTGGCGACCAGCGGCCAGGGGGCCAGGGTGGAAGTCCCCTTGCCAGGTCCGTGCCTGCGTCTGGGCCCGGGGGGAGCTTGCAATAGAAACGACACAAAACACGTCACCCAACGACGTCTCCGGGGCCTGGCCCAGGGAGAGGCCGGGCGCCCCGCCTGTCAGGCTGATGGGCACACGCGGCCCAGAGACCCGGGAGCCCAGAAGAGAACCCCCCTGGGGCCCTGAGTTCCGAAGACACGAGAAGTCTGCATCTTCTAATGTGTCCCCAACACACACACCTCAGTTCTTTAACACGCTCCCCCCCCCCCCACAAAGTACAGCCGCAAGTGAATCTCTGAAGAAGATCAGCTGCCGCAGGTGACAGAGGGTTGGCTCGAGGAACGCAGGCACGGACCGCTCAGGCCGGAAAGACCCGGTCCCCCGTGAGGGTTGGCGCTGGGGACAGAGCCGCCATCCACAGCCCCCTCCCCGAGGGGACCCGGCCACGACGGGAGTCCGACCACCCGAACCAGCTGGACCAGCAGCCCGGCCGCCCTTGAGCTCTGACGGCCCTGCAGTTCTGGGGTGCACCCCTGTGCACTGAGGACCTGCCGCGGGGGGGGGGCGGGGAGGCAGAGTGGGGCCTGGGGGAGGGAGGGGGAGGAGGGGGGAGGACAGGGAAAAGGCCCAGCAAGGAATCTGCCCACACAGTCTCTCTGTCTGCAGACGCACTGCTGTCCCTGCATTTCCCTCTAGCCCCTCCGGCCTCCGGGCCCGCCTTGCCCGCACAGGCCGGGCCGGCCCCCCAGGGGCCCAGGACCCGACGCCTGCTGCCTGCCAGTGCTGAGCTCACCAAACCTTCGCTCGTTACCCCCTCTCCCCGCAGTGAATGGGACCCCCGGGAACCCCACATTCACTGTCAACACCCCCAAGATGTCCAACATGCTCGCGTCTGTCAAAAACTCTCCCGGAGAAAAGAAGAGAAAGTCTCTCACCTTTTATTCAGCCGACGTCCCCCGAGGCACTGCGGGCTCCTAGGGAAAGAGAAAGAGGAACAGAGTTACGGTCGGCGCGGCCACTGTGCAGCCGGCGGCGGGCTGCCCTGCGCTTGCCCGGGGGTTGGTCAGGTCGGGGCTCCTCTCCCCGGGAGACCCGCCCCTGTGCTGTCCGCATGGGTGCGGCCGGGGTTTGGGGGGGGTCGCATTTCACTTAACAGGCGAAGACCCAGGGGAAGAGGCCGCCTGGGCTGGTCTTCTCTGGAACCCGGGACTGTCCTCTGCGCTCTCTCTCCTTCCCCCGGCCCCCGACTCCGGGTGACCCCCGTGCTCTTCCTCCTCCCCGGCCGTTGTGAGGTGACCCTCTCACGGGGACTTAGTGGGCTGCCGACGGGGGTGGTCAAGCCCCAGCGGCCATCCTTGGGGACTTGGGCCCACCCCCGGGTGGGGGGGTCATCGCGTAAATCGAACCGCAGTCGGAGGGTAAGCAAGCGATTGCTGCTCACCGAGGAGTGGCCCCAACCCCCAAACGCAGTGTTTCGGGGTTCTCACGGCCTCCGGGAGCAGCTTGAGGCTGACGCTGGCCTGGCAGGGACCAGGTGGCGTCCAGGTGTGTCGCAGCCCAGGGACCCGGGGCCAGAGAGACAGAGGCACCTGCCTGCCTGAAGTCACAGCACCGATTTCGGGGACGGGGACGCACACGTGTGTCTGGACCCCTATCCTGCCCTTTTCTCACAGGGTCTGTGGACATCAGGTGTGCGTGTGCGTGTGCGTGTGCATGCTCGCCTGTGCTCCGTCTGGACTTAAATTTTCCGTGCTCAGTCCCCTCGTGCTTCGTAACCTTAGGTACACGCGTCTGCCCCGTCTTTGTAACCGAGGGAAAACACACGCACCACAAACCGTACCGTTTCAACCACGTGCGAGGGTACAGCCCAGCGGCGTTAAGTACAGGCACATCGTTGTGCGGCCCTCACCCCCACACTCTGGTTCTAGAACCTTCTCACCACCCCGAAAGGAGACTGCGCGCCCGTGAAGCAGTGGCCCCCGCCCGCACACCTCCCCGCCCCGCCGTGCGGTGTCTGGTTTGTGAACGCAGCGTGGACAGGACACGGGAAGGCGGTCAGCCTGGGCCTGCCTCCTGAGGTGCAGAAAGGTCACCGTCATTGTCACCCTCGACGCCACCCTCAAGAGCAGGTTGCCGCCGTCATAGAGTTTTGCACTTTTCCTGTGCCAGGCACTTGGGGACAACGGCCTCGCTCACTGTCACACTCCCGAGAGGCGGGCGCTGTTCCGACCACGCCCATTTTCCAGGAGAACACGCTGAGGCCTGGGGCGGGGGCGGAGCTGGGGCACCTCTGGGGACGGGGCAGCCAGATTTCCCCGGGCGGCGCCCACAGCTCGGCACCCCCTTGCCCCCGGTTGGGGGCCCAGTGCGGGTTAAAGCCGGCAGGCGACATCTGGCGCGGGCAGCCTGCGGGCAGTCTGTGCACACCCCTCCCCCACTGCCCACCCAACAGTTTGCATCCACCCCCGTCTGCAGCTGATTTGGGGCTTTTCCTTCTTGTCGACTTTTTTCTTGGTTTCCTCTTGTCTAGTGAGTTTTCCTTCCGATTCAAGTCAACGTAGTTCCCTGGAACGCAACCCGACCAACCGCAGGGAGCGGACACGCAGCCCGGACGGCGGGCTCCAGGCAGAGGGCCGGTTGCTGCACGGATGCCTCTGCTTTCCGCTTCCCTGCGACCCCCCCCCGGCCAGGCAGGGGGCAGGAGAGCCCTGAGGTCCTGGTCCCGAGTCACTCCCAATGCCCCGATTCCCCTGCACGGCCCCAAGCATCCTTATTTGGTCAGAGCGAAATACTCGGCGTGAACACAGGGGGCGCTGTGCTCTGTCCACCTCGCGGGGGCTGGGGGGGCCAGGACCACGTCCGTCTCCCAAGAGCCTCTGCTTCGGAGAAGGTCCGGGACCTCGGGTCGGGCAGGAGGGCCGGGCGAGCCCGATGCCCCCACCATGCCCGGCACTCGGGGTTCAGCCTGTTCTAGGGCTTCAGGCCAGGACCCCCCGCCCCCCACTTCCTGGCCCGCGCTGCCGGAGGACGGGCGGACTTGGCATGTCCGAGGGGACATCGGCTCTCCCTGCCTCCTTCCTGGCCCCAGCATCTCCCGCCCTCCCCGTGTCCACCTGGCACGCCGGCCCGCTGCCCAGTGTGGGGGAGGGGAAGGAGGCCCCCAGGGCCCCCCCTCCACGGGCCCTGCTGAGTGCGTGCGCCTGTCCCTCCGTCCGTGGGCAGCTGGGCAGGCCCGCGGGGCAGGAGGAAGCAGGGAGCTGGTTCTCAGCCTGGCCGTCAGCAAACGTGGCTCCCAGCGGCACCCGGGACCATCGGCCACGGTGACTTCTGCCGCCCTGACCAGGTTTCAGGAGCTCAGCTTCTGAGGCAGGGGCGCTGACTTGGAGTGTCCCGGGGGAGCGACCCCTCAGCCAAGGCCAAACCCAGCGACATGCACTTACCAAGCTAGGGGTGGGGTCTCTGCCCAGACCACCCTCCACCGCAGCAGCCTCTCGGGGAGTCTGCTGAGCAGCAAGACCGCAGCCCGCCGGGGCATCTTGCTGTGGAGGGAGCTACCTGGGGCACAGCGGCTCCCCATCGGCTAGGGCAGGAACTCCCCGTTGTCCGGCACTAGTCACCTCCCCCGAGAAGGTGGCCCCCAGGGGTGCAAGAGCGTGTTAGAGGCCCCGTACCCCAGAGCCGTCTGGGGCCAGCGCAGCCGTTGAGTGGAAGTTTGCAGAAGGAACGAACCAGCCAGCAACGCTTGTCCCCGGGGACCTGAACCTGACTCCTGATCTGAAGAGCGGACTTGGTTCCTCCTACAGGGACGCTCACGCCGGGGACCCCAGCACGCGAGCAGACCCTCCTCTCCCACCGCCTCCCTGACGCTCAGTCCTTCTCCCCACCGCGCTCTCCCCAGCTCGCACCCTCGCCCCAGCCCCTCGGGGCCCAGGGCCGTGCACGCTTCCCTGCAACCCTCCCCCGGAGCCCGCTTCCGTCCTTACTCAACTCCACCCAAGTGAGGACGCCGCCCCCTTCCGCCTGTTCTCTTCTGTCCCTGCACGTTTTGTTTGCGCCGCTGCCGCCAGCTGCGCCGCGGTGGGACGGGAGGAGCACGCGCTCGTCGGGAAATCCCATTCTTAGTGCGCATCGCGCAGAGTGGCTTGCCAGAAAAGCGCGCCTCACGCGGCCACCCAGACCACCGCCTCGGCCGCAGCTCTCCATTCCCACCCCACGAGGCACCTGGACTTTCTCCCCAGTCGGGTGCCGAGTTACTAGACGGTGGTCTAGCAGCGGGAGTAGAAAGGTAGGCGGAGGTAGACCGCGCAGCCCTCCTTTAAGATCCGAGCACATTTATCTGGTGGCTTACAAGTGCCCGCAACGCGGTCGTCACCGCCAGGAGGGATCGTGGGGCCCCTTGGCCAGGCGGGTCACGCCGCTCTAGGGAGGCTGCTCAGCGGACGTGGCTGCGCCCCGTGGAGGCCCCGCCCCCACCGCGGAGGCCCCGCCCCATGGAGGCCCCGCCCCCGTTGTGGCCCCGCCCCTGTGGAGGCCACGTCGGGGGCGCTACCAGGCAGCTTTAAAAGCCTGCTGGCCCTGCTCCGGGGTTACCACGCCGCGCTCTCTCTGTAAGGGGAACTGGAGGTGAAGGGCGCAATTTCATACATAAAAAATTAACCGCGGGTGGCTTAAACACGACATCTGATAGTGATCGTGACAGCAGAACCACTTCGATTTCAAGGGTTTTATTTTTCCTTCTTCTGAAAAGAAATTCACCTTTGGAGAGCAGAGCGGAGGACGGGGGTGGGGGGTGGGGGGACCCTTGATCTCAGGCTCTGGCCTCCAGACTGCGGGAGAGCGATTCCAGCCGTCTGCAGCCGCCCCCCCCCCGCCCCCGGGGTGAGGGGCTTTGCTGCGGCAGCCCCGGGACTTAACCCCCTGGGGGGCCTCTGTCCCCACCCTTGCCTGCACCCCTCTGGCCCGGGCGCTGTGAAGCCCGGTCCCCAGGCCTCGGGGGCCCCTTCTTCCTCCTGCTCACCGACGCTCCGACCTTCGCCCTCCCGGAGCTGACCTTCCCAGTGCCCACCCACCGGGCGCCCCGGGGGCCGCAGCTGCCGGCCAGGAGCAGAGCACTGCGTGCCCTGTGGTGCCACACGGATGCTCCCTGAGGACCACCCCAGGAGGACTGCTCTTCCCTGTCTGGGGTTCTCATTTGTTTGAGTTCTCATTGTTGTAACATCCGTGTATCCCAAACTCCCAGTTTTCACCACTCCTTGGAGAGCAGTGCAGTGCTTCAAACACATTCACGGTTGTCGGGCCGCCGTTGCCACCGGCCACCTCCAGGACTTTCTCCTCTTCTTAGAGTCGAACTGTCCCCATTAAACACCAACTCCCCCCACCCTCAGCCATGGCGCGGGCCCTTCAGTTAGCTTTCTGTCCCTGTGCATTTGATGACCCCGGGGACCCCCGTGAGTGGAGCCACCCAGGGCTCCGTGCTGGTGCGGCGGGCTTATTTCCCTGAGCGCAGTGTCCGTCGTCCAGGTTCGCGGTGGGCGGGGGAATCCCCTCCCCTTTCAGGGCTGAGTAACACCGGGCTGCGGGGATGGGCCGCACCGCGTCCACCCCTCCGTCCGCCCCACATCCGGGTTCTAGGCCACGCTTTAAGGCCACAGGGACCATGTGACTGGCCACGCTTCCCGTTTGGCTTTGGCTGCCAGCACGTCCTGGAGAATGAACCTCGGCCCAGCCCGTCGCCACGGCCCGGAGCCCCAGAGCCGCCTGCCCCTCTGCCGTCTCGGTGCCCCGGCCTTCGTCCCACCCATGTGCGGGGGGCGGTGGCGGAGAGGGCGGGGCACCGCGGTTACACCGGGACCGGCAGCCCCACGCCCCGCGCAGACGGCCCGCACGCTGCTGCCGTCTTCTCAGAGTAGCCTGCTTTCCCATCAATAATTTAGACATGCCCTTTCTCCTCTGGGAAATGGGCAAAATCTCATTT